GGGAGCGCAGCCGCGCTTCCCAAGCGGCGCACTGTAGCAGTGCGCCACCGGGCCGGCCCTGTTTGTTTGTTTTTTAAAATTCAACTTGATATTGAGTAGAAGAAATGGGTCCATTCCCATGCAATATAATGGATCTTGCTTTATTTTTGTTATTTATTTGTTATTAGAAAGGGCATATATTACTAACCTTTATATTCAAAGAATTAGAAATACAGAAACACACTTTTATGATCATCCACATAAATGCAGACAACTCCCTTTATTGAAACACACATACTTTTATGACCCTGGATGAGTAGAACTATTATATTATATTTTCCTATTTTGTTTTCTATATTCATTACACACTGAAGTAGGTAGATCTCACATTGTATGAAGGAGAATGATTTTGTATTAGAATTTTTATTACACCAGAATTTGTTATATTTCATTTCATTCATATTTTATATCACACCCCCTTTTTTAAAAAAATCAAAGTGATATCTTCCATGTTTAAAAAAAGAAGTGAGCTGGGCCAGCCCAGTGGCGCACTGCTATAGTGCGCCGCTTGGGAAGCGTGGTGGCGCTCCCGCCAAGGGTTCAGATCCCACATACAGACCGGCCGAGGGGCGGGAGCAACACCGAGGGTTGTGATCCTGTGGCTGGTCTCGGGCCGGTACGGGCGCGACACTGAGGGTTGCGATCCGTTGCCGGTCACGAAAAAAAGACAAAAAGGAAAAAAAAAGAAGTGAGCTCTTTCTTTCCATGCCCATAGCACTCCCGCGAACATGGCGAATGTTCCTAAAACTCACTGGACTTTCTGTAAGAAGTGTGGCAAACACCAACCCCACAAAGTGACACAGTACAAGAAGGGCAAGGATTCTCTGTATGCTCAGGGAAAGTGGCGTTATGACAGGAAGCAGAGAGGCTATGGTGGGCAGACTAAACCAATTTTCCAGAAAAAGGCTAAAACTACAAAGAAGATTGTGCTGAGGTTTGAGAGCATTGACCCTGACTGCAGATCTAAGAGAATGCTGGCCAGTAAGAGATGCAGGCATTTTGAACTGGGAGGAGATAAGAAGAGAAAGGCCTAAGTGATCCAGTTCTAAGCTTTGTCATTGGTTTTATTGTGAAGACAATAAAATCTTGAGGTTATGTTCACTTCATTTGGTAACAGTTGGTCTTTTGGGAGGGAATAAACTAAAGCCATCAATAAAATTTCCCTTGGAGGTGGGGAGGGGAGTGAGAGTACAATAGAGAGGGAAGAATAGACTGAATACAATGCCGAGCTCTAGCATACTCAATACCTGATTAAATGTGATGTCTAAGATGTTGCTATTAAATAGGTTTATTTGTTGCCACCCCAACTTAAGACCCTTCTCCCAAGTTAGATATTTAACAAGGACTACTGAAGCCATAGCTGGCTTAGCTGTGAGTGGAAGCCAATCTGCGTGTGCATGTCCTCTTCAGTACCTACTACAGGGCCTGATGCGATGCAGACCCCCAAGAAACGCTGGTCAATTGACTGCTTGGCAGCTGCAAGTTATCACAGTCAAGGTACAGCAACTGTCTGAGACGAAGGCCCTCTCATAGCGTCATCCTGATCCCCAAAGTCATCACTCAGCCGTCGGGACAGAAAATGCTTTCCTTAGCTGGAGACTACTGAAATCCTGGCTCATCTAGTTACCATTTTTCCTAATGGTCTTGTCACCTAAAATAGTTGTGCCTTGGGTTTACAGGATGGGCAACAATCCTTACAGGTAAGCATTTTTAACAAAGCATGCTTGATTTTCTTTGCTATAAAACTGCTGTGTCTTCTACTCTTTTCAAAACTAGTGGAAGCTTCAGAGGATTTCTACTGCTCTAGGTTGCATCTCTCTTGACTCAGGTCCCCAGGATCTCAGAGCTTTCAAGAAGAGTTTCATCTCTCAGCTAAGACTAACAAAATCAATCTCGTGCCTCTTGCGCCCCTGTTTAATGCCTTCCTGTGTAATTCTCCAATTTGTAGACTCCAGCCAAGAGCCGATAAAGCAATTTCCCCCACAATTCATGATTTCCTGCTTATAAATGCTTTCTTTTTTTCCATCCTTTGAAAAACAACATTAACAATGATGCTTTTAGTTTATCCCCAATTGTCGGCAGAAAGCAAGAATGGAAGGAAGGACAAAAACTTGTACAGCAAAGCTTTAGCCAAGAAAGGCGTCAACCAGTTTGGTGGCTTCTCATATTCCCCAGGGGCTCCATTTGAAAGCCTTGAGCAGCCTCCTGAACCCCTGTCTCTATTCAACATTAGGACCTTATGTATGCACTTTCTGACCCTACCTCATCATGGTGTGATTTATTTTCACTCCAGTAACATAAGCTGTTTCCCAAATTTATATTTCTTGCTCTGATTTCTACAGCAAACTTTAGACTTACAAATACAATTTCTAACTTAATTTTTCAACAGGAATTTCAGTCTTAACATGAGAAAAATAGAATACCTATTCCCTCCCCAAACTGCTCTTCTCTTAATTTCTTCATCTCAGTGAAAAAAAAAAAAACCCCACTTACACCTCAAGCCACAAACCCAGGAGCAACCCCTCATCCATCTCCATCCTTTCCCTCCCATATCCAAACCATCAGCAAGAATCTGAAAGCTAGAAGGTGAAAGCATGTTTAAAATATTTGCCTGTTTACTTTTCAGCATCAACCCTGCTACTCTCAGTCCAAGCCACCAGTATCTTTTGCCAGCACTAGCAGAATGGACTCTGGTCTCCCTGCTTCTCTTCTTGCCCATTTGCATTTGATTCTCCATGAAGCAGATAGAGAGGTCTTTCTAAAAATGTAAATCAGTTCATGGCATTCTCAAGGAACCCTTCTGTGGTTTCCCACTGCACTTTGAATGCATATCCCATCCCATTTCCAGGTCTGTAAGCTCCGGGAGGAACTGGCTCTGCCTCCCTGCCTGAACTCATCTCACACTACCCTCCCTCAGGCTCATTACTATGTCACCTTACTGGACTTATGTTTTTGTGAAGAGGACAAGCCATTCCTTGAGACCTTTGCTATTTCTCTATCTAGAATGCTGCTCTTGCCACAGAAATTCACCTGGCTGGCTCCTGCATATAACCCATATGTCAGCAAAATTGTGTTTCAGACAAGCCTTCCTTGGCTGATTGATTTAATGTAGTCCCAGCCACTCTCCATCCCATCCCCCAGTTTTATTTTCTTTATAGCACTTCTCACTATGGGAGAACAAGATGTTCATTTATTTGTGCACCAGTTTATTTTTTGACTCTTCTCTGGAGGGCAGCACTGCGCAATACGAATGCAAGCCACCTATGTGACTGTAAATTTTCTGGAGCCACAATATAAAAGTAAAAGAAACAAATAAAACCACCCTGGGGGCCCCAACAGAGCCCTGAGGCATGGAGCCGGGGGAAGCTGAACCCAGCCCGCAACCAGGTAAAGAGCACACCAAAAACACCACCTTCACACGGGTAGCCCTCCACAGCCACCACAATTGCCACGGCTACCACAAAAGGGGCTAATCTCTATAGCAACAGTCACAGCCACCATATAGATGGCATGCCAGACTCTCAACTTCATTGACACAAGCAGAGGCACCAGGGGAGACCAAAAATAAAAGAATAAAAAAAGAAGAGGTCCTTTCTCTCCACAAAGCACACTCCAGGGTAACAGAAGAAGCATCTGACAGTACTGGACAGATGATCTAGGAAACAAACCAACAGAGGAACAGTTAATCTATTAGATGGAGAGAACAAATCTATGGTTATTAGAGGGGGAAGAGGGAGGGGAAAGGTGAGAGATTGGATAAGGGGCATAAAGAATAAGCATGATTTGTAACAGTGAATATGCTAATTTAACCCAATACAACCAAAATATTACCATTTTAATATACAATCAATATTAAAGTTTTATTAATGAGCTATTTTACATTCTTCTCGTTCATACAGAATCTTTGAAATCTGGTATGACTTTGCTTACCTCTCACATCTCCATTGGGACTGGCCACATTTCAATTGCTTACTGGCTGCATATGGCTGGTGGTTACTGAATTGAACAGCACAGCTCTAGAATGGAAGCTCCGTGCAAGCACAGACTTTGCCTGTCTTGTTCACTGTTGCAGTCCTCGTATTTGTAAAAGAACAGTGCCTGACACATAGTAAGCACTCAATAAATATTTGTTGAGCAACAGAATAGTTTAAAGAATTTTGAGATATTAGTAGAATTCTTAAGATTGAATACCTATCTTTACACACAATTTCAAGGGCTTAAAAAAACCTAAGTTAATCAATTAGTTATCTAGGGTGAGAAAAGGTACTGATTTAATAATGTAAGCATGGATTTGGGTGAAAGGTCCCAGTCTTTTATATTCTTCACAGTCTCCAAGATATTGCCCTGCTCCCCTTTGGTACCTACTAAACTCCTACATTGAATGCCTTCTCTCTGCTAGAAAATTCTACTAGAAAATTCTCACTACAAAATTCTACGCATCCTTATTCTCATTTCAATGGGAAGAGGGTCTCCTCCAGGCAGGCTTAGACACACCTTCCCCTGGGATTCCACTGCACTTTGGATGGTGCTCTATTATAACATCAAACCTGTCCTGTTAATGTAGAAGCGTCCTATGTCTTTGTCTCAGTTTCTGTGAGATCTCTGATTCCACTCTTGGGTTGGTGAGAGTATTACAGTAACACTTTACACCTCCCGACAGGAAGTCACTTAATTTACCTGATTGGCAAGATGGAAAAAGTGTGACATACACTGGTCGGTGTGTGTCAATTGTGTGCAATGTCCTGAACTCAGAGGGAAAGAGTGTGACTGGATCCTCAGAGCCCTCCACAGGTGATGCATTGGTTAGGAAATGCTAAACATACAAAAGCATCAAATAAGGATCAAAATATCATTTTTGTTGTTGGTAAAACTGGATTGGGCATTGTAAATAAAGAGTTAACATCAGATCTGGGCCGATCCAGGTCAGCCTGGGAGAAGCATCTCAAAGATACCTTTTCATAGCACTCTTAGCTTAGAAACTACAGAGTTAAGATGAATGTGGCATGCTGGTCTGCCTTGTCTGCTGGTGGTACTGCACCCGGGCGGAGAAGCTACAGGGTGGCCTACAGACCTGAGCTTCCATAACCAGGACCATTTTGAAAGCTTAGCTGGAAACTGAGGACAGCTCTTCTGTGTTCAGGTGACCCCCATGTATGTAGCTTTTGTCCATGGCAACTGTACACTCTATGAGGGGACGGTAGAAGCTATGTACCTGGGTAGGTTCTGGGTCACCAGATGACATGAGGATGCTTTACCAACTGTGTCTCTTGTCTTGTATCCTTCTATAAAGCTCAGCAAATGTAATACTAGGTTAGAGCTTATTGTGTCTTGTGAGTTTGTGACTCAACCATACTCTGATACTCTAACAACCCTGTATCAGGACAGAGACCTGCAGCCAGAATCAGGCTGTCTAATACCCACCCTCAAGTCTTGGTCCTGAGACACAGCAGCCCAGAGGAGGCTACAAATTTTACTCAGTTGGAATACTTGAACCAATGGCTATCAAATCCTTTCCACTTTACCAGTCAATTAAATAAATCAATCTTTTTTCCACAGAGAGGAGTCACTCAGGGGTAGAGAGAATTTGTGTTTCTCTGACATAAATTTAAAAGAGAGAGAACAAAGAACATGGGCCAACTAACATTTTGCAAGCATGCCTCTATCTCCACTAGAATGCTCACTCCTTGAAGTCTAGGCCTTTGTTCACTTCGGTATTCCTAGCTGTTAGTGGAGTACCAAGGACTCAAGGAGAAATAATTTCAATGAATAAAATGGATTTAAAATGAACAACAATCAATCATCAACCCTCAATTTCTACACTATACAAATCTTGTTAAAAAGTTTTAGACTTTACTAAAGTTTACAGTAGAAGTCATGCAAAAATTATGTATATAATATGAGATTTATATTGTTTCTTTCCTCTGAAGACCTCCAAGTTGTGTACATAAAAAAGATTCATGCAAAATTAATCTCACTCATGTTCTTACTGCTCTCTGAGGTCAGAAATATAGTCAGTGTTGGAAGATTGAGAACA